CAGTGTTGGCCTTTGCCATCCCCAGAACAGCCCTCATCCTTTGCATTCCTCCCATTCCCTGTTTTCCTAGTCCATGCCCAAGACGGTTGTCCTGCTACCGCCTCATCCCTGAGCAGAAGGGATGCTATCTGGCATGGTCTCATACATTTTGACGAGTTTTCTCCAAATTTGTCTTAGGTACTATTTCCTTTCCAGACTGACGCTGTCTGCTGAGGGGGCTGGTTGGCCAGAACTTCCCGAGCCACAATCTGTTGTTCATGATGGAGGTCCCCCCGCTGGGAGCCAGGGAGGAGAATACCACAGTGGCATTTGTAACCCTGAGAAACCCCAAGAGCCAGGAAATTCGAGTGAGGCCGTGGGTTTTCACGTTGCACTCTCTTATGCTCCCAAACTGCTCCTTGCCACCCAGATAGTTGAGTCATCACTGCCAGCCAGGACTCTTCCCTAAAGACCTGCTGTCTAGAGGAAGGCGCAGCCCTTCCTCACCTGCCTGCCTCGTGCCTGTCCCTACCTCCTCGAGGAATTCCTCCCTCCCCGGCACCCCTCCAGCCCTCCCACCAGCCAGGGGCACATCAGAGCTCAGTGTGTACAACCACCTGCAAGCCTTTTCACAAGTCAGCCCCAGAGAAGCTGAAGAACGTGCCCCAACCGCACAGTAAATGGTAGAGCTGGCATGTGAAGCAAGTCTAGCTGGAAGTCCAGGGTGGTCTCCATCGTGACTAGATGTCACCGCCCCAGAAGGAAGAAGTGAAGTGTGACTCAGGCTGACAATACTTGCAGTCCTCCCAGGTGGCCGCCAGATGGCTGTGAGCGCTCACTTCCAGGTGAGACCACTTTTTTTTTAAAGATCTGTTTTATTTATTTATGCATACAAGCATTGGGGTACAGTCCAGAGATATGGGGAGGGGAGTGAGAGGGTTCACCAGAGACAGAGTGGGGAGCAGAACAGGTGGATCCACCGAAATACAATGGGAGGAGCAGCAGGCGAGACAGGAGAGGTCTGCTGCATCACGTGGGTCAGCGCCTTGGCCTGAGATCTAACTCCGACAGCTTCCTAATGCTGAGACTTAAGCCCTTGCATCACCTGGGAGGAGATTGTTCACTTTTTATTGAAGTAACACTGTATTATAACTTCATGTAGGTTTCAGGTGTTCCTTGTTGAGAGCCAGCATGTGTCTGTGGTGCATAAAGGTCACTGCTGGAAGTCCAAACCTAGGGTACACCATGGTTCCTTGGACTACCACCTCTCTGTCCTCTTTCTTTTTTATCTATGTACCACATGAGCAAATTACATGTTTACCTTTTTCTGTCAAGCTCATTTTACTAAGTGCAATTCCCTTTAGGTGGATCCACGTTGTTGCAATTGTAGGATTTCCTCCTTCCCCTCCTTTTTTTAGGTAGATGAGTGGTATCTGCTGTGTCTGTTTTCCATTGGGCACTTAAGTTGTTTCCAGTTCTTGGTTATGGTAAACAGGGCTGCCGCAAACATGTACATATCTTGTATATATTGTTTTGAGTTATTGTTCCTTTTCTCCCTTTTCCACCAATCTGGGGAATCCCCTAAGCAGACACCCTGAGGGGAGGTGTATGTATATGAGACACAGATGATACTATACAAGCTCTTTGTCCAAGCCTCCCCTCCCCCAACCTGGCCATAACCAGTATACCGGTGCTTAGCACAGATTCCTTCATTCATTCAGCTAATACTTAGATGGGTCCCTTGTGCTGGTGTGTAGCTCGTGCTACAGAGATGATTTGAACGCATCCTTGCAATTTCAACATTCAGTAACATTGAAGATTGAATAATATCTGCTTAACATTTAATAAGCAAACACTAGGGCCCTCCCTGATGGTGCAGCGGGTTGGAGCACAGCACTAAGAAGCTAAAGCCACTTCAGCATGAGTTTGATCCCCGCCCCTGAGGTGACCCACATGGCGCAGCGACCTCTCCTGACCCGCCCGCTGCTCCCTTCAGCAGTGTGCTTTATCAGTCGGCCTGTTCTGCTCCCCATTCTATTTCTGGTGAATCCTCTTACAGCCCCTGCACCTCTGGCCTGTACCCCAGTTCTGTATGCATAAATAAAAATGAATCTTAAAAAATAAATAAGTAAATAAATAAATAAGCAAGCACTATTTCCAGGCACAAAGGATACAGCAATGAACAAAAACCCAGTCTTCTTCATGGAGCTTCCCCCATTCTGATGTAGAGACGCACAAATGAGAACAAAGAGAGGTCTACAAGTGATACTCATTATGGTATCAAGTAGGGAGCCCTCCAGGGTCTCATGTATACAGTCACGATATGGTTATTTAATAAACAACTACTTTGTCCTTATGTTTGTAGCAATGGAAGAAGAGAAACATGTTTCCTGACTTACTAGAACTTCCAGCCTAGAAAAAAGTGAGTAGTTATACATTTGATACATATTCTTTAAGATTTATTTATGCATACAAAACTAGGGGGTTGTGGGGGTGAGAGGATTCGCCAGAGATAGGGTGGGGAGCAGAACAGGCAGATTGACTGAAGTACACTGCTGAGGGGAGCAGCGGGTTGTGACAGGAGAGGTCTACGCCATGTGGGTCACCTCCCTGTCTGGGGATCAAACTCATGCTGCAGTGGCTGCGGACAGCTTCATAGTGTTGTGCTGTGCTTTAACCCATTGTGCCACCAGGGAGGACCCTCTTTTGATACATATTCTGAAGGAAAAAGGAGGTGTGATGCAGAATAACCAGGAAACCCCTTTTAAGGGAGGGAGGTCCTGGAGTGAATCACTTAAAGAGACAGAGAGTTAAAAGCACAAAGTCTCTGAGGAGGGAGAGTTGATGTATTTGAGGAGTGGGGAGGTCAGTGTGTCTGCAACCCAGTGAGCCAAAGGGAGAGGCCGGAGTTGAGATCAGAGAGGTGAGCAGAGGAAGGAGACTGGAAGTCATGGAAAGCAGTGAGATGGGACCACGGGTGGGCTTAGATGGGGCTGACATGTCCGTGTCTGCTGCCATATTTTCAAAGAATCACCCTAACTGCTTAGCTTAGCTGAGGACAGAGAGGAGATGGGGAACAGAAGCATCTCTACCAGGAGGCCCTTCAGTCATCTGGACAGGGATGATGAGGGTGCAGGGCTCAGCTGCAGGAATTCAGATGGTTCAGCTTGACCAGCTGGGACAAGTGTTATAGCAGCTCTGCTTGCCCTGAGGTGGTCACAGAGGGTTTCATGCAGTGGGGACCCTTCATGCAGAGGGGCTGTGTAGGATTAGTTTGCCAGGCAAATGGAGTGAGAGGAGATGGAGACTCTCCAGGAGAGAGAGCAGGTATAGAATAAAGGCAAGGAGAGAGAAAAGAATGTATGCATTGGGCAAGGGACTGCCCATCTTCTTGGAGTGGAAGAAGGTGTTAGGATGAGCCAAGACAAGGTGGAGAAACTTCCAGAGCAGGAAACAAAGGGTTGTGACGTCTAAGTTATTATTGAAAAGTTAACTGGCAGATCTGCGGTTTCAAGAGAGCCCGGTGCTGTCAGGGCCGACTTGATGAGGCGTCTGGAAACTGTGAGACAGTGAGGCTGGCAAAAGAAGACGGGGAACAGAACCCAGGAGAATGTAGAGGCAAAATCAGAAGGATTTTCATCTGGGGACTAAGGACGCCAGCGAGGCGGACTACAGCTTCTGATTGGTAACTAGGAGATGAGGCCTCCCGAGTCAGGAAGACAGGCCAGGTAATTTCAGAGACGTGGGGGACACGCAGGTGGAGGCGCTGAGCAAACAGATGGACCCTAGGAGGCACAGCAGGCGGGCGGTAGCCGCTGGTCTCATAGATCTTGGGTTCATACCCTGGCCTCAGTTGTGACTGTGGGCTCCTGGGGGTGATTTTACTTCTGAAGCATACAAATTGGGAATAATAAAACTCACACCTTTAGGCCAGTTGTGGGCATTATTAGATGAAAAGCTGTAAATAAAATTCTTAGCAGAATGAACATTCTGCTGCTAGTAAGTGGCCTGTGCTTGTGGACCATATTGTGCTGTTACAGGTGTGGCAGCAGGGAAAGGAGCGAGCGCTAAGCTGCAGATGGAGACGGGAGACTTCTTGGCTCTCAGATGGGAACTGAGAAGAATGGCCGAGGTGACTCCAGAAGAGTGTGGATAGGACTCAGGACTGAGCTGGGCCACCACTGATGAAAGTGGGGCACAGCAGAGGGTATAGGAGGCCCAGGGAGCACGGGGTAGAGGAAAAGGGAGTCCTTTAAAGCCTAGAGCAGGCAGAGGAAGGAGAGCCAGAAGCCTGGCCGGGCAGAGTAGGCCAAGGGGAACAATCAGGCTGGTCACCTGGCCAGAGGGTGCTGGGTCAGACCGGTGGGCTGAGGTGGCCGAAAGAGGACAGGAAGGTGTAGGGCAGGGTGAGAGGAACGCAGAAGCTGGGTGGGGGAGGTCGGAATGCAGGGCCCAGCTGCCGTCCCTGCAGCGCCACACTCGCCAAGGCCGTGCTGGGCCCGCAGGCGGGAAAGTGACCACGCTTCATGTCCGAATTCTGCCGCTGACTGTGGACCTCGGACCAAACTATAGGCCCGGGACCAGTGGCCCGCCTTTCCCGAGCTGCTTCCTAACTTGAGGACGACAGGTAGTTACAGGTATTAACACGCCACTCGGCAGTGGGCCTTGGGCTGCGGTGGGAGCCTCGAGGGACAAGCGTGAGAGCCCCCCCCACCCTCTTTCGTTCG